ACGCGCCTGAGCCTCGATTCCTATCCCTCTTTCCATGCCAAACCACCTTGGGTTTCGGTCTATGACCTCCGAGTCACAGGTATCCCTGACATTCCTCGACTAGCCACAGCATAGATTCCGCTATCCTGAACGTATTCATTGAACAATTGCCATCCACTTGATCCGAGCATTATTTCCAGGTCCGGCGCCCTACTTTTTCCGCTTTTCAGCCGCCATATTGTCAGTGCTTTCCGACACTGGACCAGGTGACCGATTGATTTTTCCTTCCCGCACTAGCAGTGAAGTGTGGCTGTAGTATGGTTGAAGCGGCGATGATATGCCAAAAAGTCCCCATGTCCGGTTCGAGAGGCGATTAAGCGGGCGTAGGCCGCTATCGGGATCGCTAGCTCTGGTAGTTTCTTGCGCCGCATCTCGAGTTCAAGGTCGGCGTAGTGTTTGGGGCAATTCGAGTGCCACCAGTCTGTCAACATCTGCCTGGCCAATTCACGGACTTTCCGTCCAGATGAGGCGAGGGTCATAAGATCATGTGTCGTCCTAGAGTTGTCCGGCGAGTTAAGCTCTCTTCGGGCAAGTTCATCAGCAATTTTATTTCCTGCCAGCCCTTCGTCGCCCGGGATCCATCCTATTTTAATAGGTGCGGCTGATCTTGCGGCTATATTCAAAACCTTTTCAATCCGCCAGGATGATGAACCTGTTGTTCCTGTCAGTAAATGCTAGACAACTGCGGAATTGTCTAGCAGGAAATAGATGGCACTGCGACCTCAATCTCGTTTGCTGGTAGTGATTGCTTCAATGGCAGCCAAAGCTTCATGAACCTCCACGTCGTAGACCTCCGCATTCGTAATTTTGCCTGTGCCACTGATAAAGGTCCCAAAGTCCCATGACATTCTGTCAGTGGACGCTACAGAACCATCACTGTAAACGCAGAAACAGTCGGGTGGGAGGGTAGGTAGCCACTTTCTTATAAACTTTGCAGCTTCTTGCTTTCTTGTCCAACAAGGATTCGGCTGAGGTGGTACAGCCTCTGGCAGAAGTCGGTACATCCTCTGGACCCTCGAATCAAGAACTCCGTCGAGACCTGTTGGAAATGGATACACAGAGTGTTGTGGAGGTACGGGACCTCCATTTCGTCTAGGTTCCCAACACGATCTCGTGTGTAATTAAGAGGTTGGAATGGGTAATATGGTAGCGCTTCAGGCTACCTATTGAAGACATGAGCAGCTGTATGGCGTGGCCATAAGGAGGTTATTGGGGGCTTTCTATGTCTAGATGGCGCCACACTCGTTTATGCTGTGGCTTAGGCTCTGTGTCGCTTACACTTGTACTCGTAGCGCACACTTCCCATACTTCTAGTTTTAATCCAAACATGTGTTATGCTCAGCTATGTAGGATGGTAGATCTAGTAGCTGGCGCATAGGTAGTTATTATGGCAGCATGGCGTTATGGCGCATGGAGGAGATCCAGTCTCTACATAACGACATTACATGTAGTAATGTGTGCATTACGAGAGATGGGTTGTTGATGTAGGACAAATGGCATGGCTGCTCAGTTGGTTGCACACTTTGGTGAGCTGCATACTGGTAACGTGATCGATCTACAAGCAAACAAGGTAGGGTTTAAGGGACGAGCTTCACCCAATCAGTAACATAGCAATTATCATAGTCACTTCACTTCTGCAAATTAATGAAGACATCTCTCCACTTACTATCTTAGCTGTTCCAGCGCAAGTGTACGTTCCCCATTTCACATACTAAGTAAAACAACATGACACTCATTTAGTCAACTTCTACTTTCGTTCCATAAACATTGCACCCATTTCATTGCGCGATATTTCCAACAAGGCCTATTCTGCTTTTGTTGCATGTCTTTAGTCCGAGTCGGTGGCGAGCGCTGTCGGTGCTTTCCGTGCCTCGAAGTCGAAGCGGGTGGTAATTATCCAGTCTTCGGATTCGCGCGGCAGTCTTGAGCCTGCGTACCTCGAGCAGAATGTGTGCTGGTGGAATGCCAGTCTCTCTTCTAAGGGCTGTGATAGGCATGGGACACTAGGCTAGTAGAGCCACGCGGATTCCGAAGGCAGAAGTTTGATCAATGGCTTTGCACTGTCTCTTATAGGAATTTCGCGCAATACCCCGATACGTTACTCTGATTGGCCCAGGGCACCAGAATTCAGCTGCATACATCGCGATTGGCAGAACTACCGTGCGAATGACTGTAGTTAGTAAGTTCGGCCTTGGTCCTTGAATACACTGAGTGAGCCGTCGGTAGTGTTGCACTAGCCGCATTGCTTTACTGGTCCACTTTGCGACGTGGCTTTCGAAGGTCAGCCGGCGGTCCAAGTAAACTCCAAGCCATCGGATGTCGTCGGATGCTTGTACATCGTGAGTGCCTACCCTTATAGTCGGAAGTTCGTGCCCCCTGGATCTAGGGCCGAGGAAATAGACTGCTTCGGCCGTGTCTGGGTCATTTGAGACGGCGTTATCAGCAGCCCACCCGAGGACTGCATCGACTTCTCTCTGGACAGCTACTGCAGCTTCGTTTAGAGCCGAGTCAAGAGTTGTGGACAGGCACATTATGAAAATCTATAAAAAATCAAAATCGAGTGGTATCTGCAAATGAAATTTGAGGGTGAGTGTTCTAAACGTCAAATTGAATCATTCTACCTAATGTACATGTCTTCCGATAAAACCTGTACGGGCCTCAAGGCGCCAAATCAGGAAAACTGAATAATTTTTTTATTTAACATCAGTAGAAGGTTGAAATTATATACCAAAGTTAAGATGGAGAGGAGAATCCATACATGGGCACATATATGAAATTATGTACATGTTCTCCTAACCAGTACACTAGTGATGTGTGCTGTGGCCTTAAGCTACACGCGTTGCCCTAGCCTCGACTACTTCGTTATCTCATATCATAACAATGTTTCCATCTACAAGTGGGCCTAATTGTTAAGGTAGATTAACTATTAACTCTATTATTTTACTTTCTCAATCTACGACTAAATATGACATGTTAGAGTATAGAGAGAGCTTCGGGGTAAGAATTGCCTGAGAACGGAGAAGAAGTTCAGTTTGCTTGATGGGCTAATAGACTTCAGGTATTATGATATATATAGTAGGGTTACAAGGGAGATAGGTTATCCGGAAACGATTCAACTGCAGAAATAAGCATGATCCTAGACCAGAAAAGAATTATCCACAGAACTAGAATGCTGGGTCATGCAATAGAAAATACAAACAAAACTATTACTGGATATGATCGGGAAGAATGGGATTCAAGCAGACTCAAATGTTGAGTGTGATTGGATCAGAAGTGTGGACTCCTACCTGAACTCAGAAATATAGCTCAGGCAAGATACATGCAGCCACATTGGTGGATAGAAAGAAATGCAGGAAGCTGTAATTTCAACTTAAACTAAATTCGGTATCCACTTCAACTATTGAAGCTGAATACGTGGCCTTGCCTGAGGCTGCTAAACAGGCGATTTGGTATGGCAAGTGTCTTTCGCCATTATCTATCCTCTCTCTCCGGAGGGCAAAGACTCAACACCTGTAAGCGGTGTCTTCCACGCAGCTTGGACTGAAGTATTCTACCAGAGCCAAGTTCGGTCAAATTTCGCAACTTCGAAGAGGTTGACCCACGAGGGAATGCTCCAAGGCTATCTAGGAAATCAAACTCTCCTACCCAACGAGACCGATCTCCACAGAAACCTCATAGAATTTACAAATTGGACATATTACATCCTCGTGTCATTGACCACAATTTTCATCGGCTATTCTCTAGCCTAAGCTGGCCACCAAACACACGCCCTCGCTGATATCTATGCCAGACGGAGGAAACAAAGCGTGGCGCACAAATCTGGGAGATAGTTTTTTGAGATAGACGTGAGAAGGATCAGTACAAGTCTACAGGATGACACGAAGGATGTATAAAAACTCGGCGGGCGTGAATTTTGGAATCTTGGCAAGGAGTTTTACGAATTAGGCTTTGTGTACGCTACAGCTTCTCTTGCGAGAGTGCAGCTGACACTAAAAAAACAAGCCGACGATGAAAGGTGCCATGGTCCGCCTCCTGGTGGTGTTCTCTATGTTGGAAATTCTGACTCTCGAATTTAGGACTCAACCGCTGCCTGTTTCGTCTCAGGTTCCCGACAAGATCGACTCTCTCTACACATGTCCCGAGTACGCTAATCGCGCCTAGTGTCGCCTATACGTTTGGATATTTACGTACTACAGTGTATCTTGGCTCATCATGGTAGATGAGAGGTGGCTGGTCATCACTAGGTTTGACAGGCACACGAGACTAGTGGGGATTTCTCCCCTGAGATGTATATATAAGTCCAATGTTCCCATAATTGTACAATATTAAGTCTTCTTTACTTCATCATATTTATCCATATAATATCGTACAGAGTATATTTTCCAACACTCTGGTATAGTTTGAGTAGCCTGGAAACCTACACCACTTAGGAAGAAAACATCTCAGATTACATTTCGCGTGGAGAAAAGTTGAAAGGTGATGGAGGCAAGTCTGGACAACTCAGGGTTTTGGAGACGCCCCCCTGAGTGGGTATTCACGGATGGGGGTTGACTTTGGGTGAAGAAATAGCCGCCATAACTTCGCAGTGATACTTGCAAATGAAATCCGAGGCACGAGGGCTCTTCCTTTATACGGAGACATTTTTTCTGTGACTTTTCTCCGGTTCAGTGTCATTGCTAGATGACCGTATACGCAAGTAAATTCTGATGCAAAAAAAGAAAAAAAAAACCTCTCTCCCACCTGGAATCACGTGCTGTATATCTCTTGCTCATCATGAAGCCCGAAAAAGATTGGAGTCAGGTTATAAAAGTATGGAATTAGACGAACGATACTTTGAGGAATACCATGGCGAAGAAAGTTGAGAATATCTTTGTGTGCTATGTTTGTTTCATGATTATATAGCTGAATGAACTTTGATTAAGCAAAGGATATGTCCGTCGTCGCAGTCATGATGTTAATTCTCATTGCCCCGTGCATTCCCCATACGAAGAGTATACTATTAAAACTTCTCCCTCGCTACCATATTCGACCCAGGATCCCCAGGCTTTTTATAAGAATTAGTATTGTTCGCTTTAAAGTCCTGACGTGGGTGGAATATACTGACCTGGATCGTTCTCACGCGAATAACTGATTCTCACCTTCCTAGTCTCGAGGCCATCATCTTGCAAATAACTGCTACGGTCGTTATTTTTACGAATATCAGTATTTATGGCATCTCTGATAAGGTGCATAGGAATGATTTCTCCGTCACAGTCGAATTCTGAGAAAGCTATCGCTGGCACCAAAAGGCTCAAGAACAGGGTGATTGATGGAGGAGTAATCTTCATTTTGTGAATTATCTTAAGCTTTCAAAGTTGTTTGCGACTTGATATGTGATTACTGATTGTTGATTCTCGAAAGTTACAAGTTTGGTCAGACTCAGTAGATATCAATTATGGTTTGTAGCTGTTAGACCAACGTGGAAGAAATGGAACTTTTGGGTGTGAGTTACTGAAGGGAAAGTAGGAGCTTCTATTGCTCTAAATACTTCATGCTAATTACTAATTACTAATTACTTCATACTATTCAGACTAAAGTAACAAGACTTATGGAAACTTTGTCCACAGCTCCCTAGTAACTTTTACGGGGATGATTGAATCCTTTCAAAATATGTAATCAAAAGTCTTTGCCAAGTCTAGACTATACAAGAATGATAAGAAGCTATCTATGCGGCTCTAATTGATGCAGATAGAGTCACATAAATTTCATGGAATTCATTTATGTGCTGACTTGTATTATCTAGTCTCCACAGTCGATAATGAAACCATTGCTTTCATCCGGCCTCCCAATTCATTATTGCACCTGTAAAAATGAAGTGGATTACGCGAGGGAATCAGGTAAAACTGAACTAGATCACTCCTCTCCCGCTTCTAGGAGAACTTTCATTTTCAGTACATTGTCACAAATAGCCAACGATATGTGTCAAGTGGCTCTCAACTGACAAGTACTGCAGGGTCGCAGGGGAAACTAGTTATGGTCGGCCGATAACGATGTTAGATTGAACAATAAACCCCAGTTTATTCCATGCTAATCATAATCTCTTGATGGATAGCAATCCTATTTGAAACCCGGGCTTATCTCATATTGTCGAGGGGAGACAATTTTGACTCAGGCTCAACACCCGTATTCCTTAGGGAGAGCCAAAATAGTCTTCACTTGGCTATTACAATATGTTGTTTGATGCAGGTTATTGCGACTTTATCTGCGCACGCAGTTTCCATTGCTACCTTCATTTTTATCTAATTTGGGGAAAAGGTTCCGCGGGAAACGCGGCTGACTTCAACGCAAAAGCGCTGAGATGTTTGGAAATCCATTATTTGGAATATATCAGAGATCTTTGAGGCAACAAAAGCGGATAGGAGCACTGTACAAGTTGTGGTCTGGGCCAGAGAGGAGCTCAATGTACTGGATTGACTGTGACTCAACTAGTACAATAAACCAAACCATATACATCCATGCAATAAACGAGATGAGAAAAGGCCTAGAATGTAACGCTTAATTTTTCCGTATATGCGTCCTCAACTTGACTCGCTTCCACTCGAATCATTATGGGCTCTTGCTCGCCGCCTAAATTGAGCTGCATGAGAGTAATTTGTTATGTTCAAAGTTGTTAAAGGTCCATCAAAGTAAATGTCCATTTTCTTAGTCGATATTCTCGGAATATTGGCCCTCCACTTTATGGAATTTCGCATCATCTGTCCCTATTCTTTCTATCCACGGTCGAATTCACGGGTCGAGGTTGACTCGGGCTGAAGAATAAGCCATCATAAATCCGCAGTGGTACTTGCCAATAAAATCGGAGACCCGAGTGCTTTACTTATAATTAGATCATTTATTTTGTAATTTTTGTCTGATACAATGTAATGCCTCGAAGGACTGCATGGACTTTATGAATTTTAAACTTTCTATTTGGGGTCCAGTTATTCAGGTGGTAGGTGTTACGGGGCGAGAGAGTATACGAGATAGAATTCACGGGACAAGACATAAAAAAGATACGTAAGATGGAACGTAGACAAGATAGGATGTGAACAAGATATGGAAATCTAACGGAGCGTTAGACGCCCTCTACAAACGTGAACGAGGACTACTTAAGGGTCTCCTCGGACTAGCTCGACGCTAGTGTCAATAATATCACCAGTCCTCTCTATTCCTGTACAAATGTGTTACTATGACAACTAGACCCCCCATCGCTGCTTAGGCATGCTTTCACCCTTTTATGGAGAGTCATAATATGAACCATGACAGTAGGTTTTACCGGAGAGTCACCTTGGAGACCGATGGCGCCGACAGGTTGATAAAAGATCCTTTGACTACTATGTCCAGATGCTTGAGTTCATCTAAAAATGCGGGGTGACTAATTTCTGAACACAGCATTTTGTTGAAAATAAACTAAGAATATGCAGAACTCTTCGAGTGATCACGGAGAAATAACGAAGTATATACTTCAAAGGGTATCCGTAGATGTGAATTATGTTTATAGTAAAGGCTTGATCGAAACTCTTGATGTTTACTATAGGATATGAGACTGTCTACATACATTGATGTCTGGCAATGGCTTGGGCTAGAGTGTAATCCCTCCTTACGGGATACAACGGAACAAACTACAGATCTGATACCAGTAACACGTATTCTCGTCGCAGTCTCGAATATCAGACGTGACAAAAATTATGGTGTAACTAGTATCGGATAGGCGACACCCAACAATCTTGATGGACACATACTGAAACCACAAGCACGGGGAGTGTATAGATTTGGTTTCGCAACACCTTTTTTTTCTGCGTCAATATGAGGGACCGGGTGGACTAGAATGTGTGAAGCGCAAGACAAGCTTAGCTTTGTTTTTGTTTTGTTCATTAACGTGCTAGGTTACATGACTACCGTTGCACTCCTATTGGGGCTTAAGCACGGGCGGAGCCGGGCTGGGTCAGGTTAACTACTATGAAGTACAGATAAACCTCGTCCCACTTTAATGACCGGACCACCTCAGACTTCACCTATGTGTTGAATCATACCAAGCCTAACAGTCCAGAAACCCGCTGTCGACACGCCGTAGCGCAATTTCCTCCTCAGCCTCGGCCACCACGCGCCCGAGCTCTTGACACCTTCGCCGTCTGTAACTTTTCCATTCGATTCATTCGATGCTTTGGCTCATCTCAGCATCTCTTCATCTCATACAGGGGTCGTTATCTTCACCGGAGGCCTCATCCAGTCGCCCACCAAGGCCTCCTCAGTTTGTATTACCTTTTGGCTCCTTCATGAAGCATCCCTCTGTCATTCAGCCGATCTCGCCAACCCAGAAACTTTGTAGAATGTCCACCCCTCCGGCCTTGCTCCGTTGCTGCCGTACCCCTAACTGTGGAGGTCGAAAACGCGACTGAGAGCTCAAGACCGAGGCACCGGTGCCCCAGCCTTTGTCGAACGCTCTAGTTGGTGTGTCGGCAAAATGTCGTACGTATTTCGTCGGTGGAGATTCGTTGTAGGTCGAGTTGTTGGTGCCCTTGGCCGAGGTGAGGACGCATTTAATGCCGGTATTTCGACCGTACCTTCACAGCGGCTGGCAGTTGCGGAGGATCGGACATTTTCTTGCTTCTTTTTTGGCGATTTGGCCTTTGGAGGTATGGGATTGCTTAGGTAGGTGATGAGATGATTGTGGAGAGGGCCGCGAGGTGAGTTTGGCTAGGAGTGATTTTCCAGAGAAATAGAAAATAAGATGTTGAAGGTATCGGTTTTGTAATACGAACATTAGAAAGGTTATAGCCTGTCTGCGGTTTGTATCTGGGGTGTAGATGGTTGATTTCGTTGAGTTGTGCAGTCGTGAAATCTCTGCAAGTCAGATTTTCGACCAAAAATGAGCCAACACCACTCCTCCCGATCGCCAACTCAACGAAAACTCTCAAATTCACCCTATGTCATGACTGAATCTCGGCTCATGGAGAATATTTCACTCCCAGGTTCGTAGAGTACACCATTGACAAGTGTGAAGCTTTCGTCCTCCTAAGCTTAGCTTTGTGGTGGTATGGGTGTCACGGGACTAAGTACTAGCGCTATACACTGGGATATTAGTATAGATCCCTCCTGTAAATTGTCTTCTATACTATCCTGCAACGCGATTACATTATTAAACCACCAGAACCTGACCCGTAATCCACCGTGAAACTTTGTGCGATCTTAAATTGTGCCTCGTCGCACTTAGATCCAATGCTATAAGCAAAATTATCCTCCTGAACCCTGTCTGCGACCCGGCATATAACCCTAAGACATCTCCAGTTATTATCTGATTTTATTTTGGTTTTATCTATATATATATTCTCATCGAACTAAAAATACTGTACAAATTCCATATTACTACCAACCCCAGAGTCACTCAAATTACTACTGCTTTCCAGCAGAGTTGGCCGAATTTGAGTGCTACAATTGAAGGTCATCACTTCCCAGAAGATTGGAATCCCACTAATTTACTAACGACCATCGCATCTACTACCGAGTCCCCCGAGAAGAATATTTCCTGCAGTTTACTTCTATGCTTCAATTCAAAGTTTGGTGACTTACAAGAACAATTGAAGTCGAGTAATTTTAAGCTCACGGAAACTAAATCAGCTCTCACCAAGACGCAACAGCAAGTTACTGAGCTAAATTCAAATCTAGCAAACGCCCACCGCCAAATTCTAAATTTGGAGCAGTCTTACTCCCAGCAGTTAAATGCAAGTCTACAACAAGTTGCATCTCTAAACTCAGAGCTATCAAAAGCCAATTTTTATCGCTCTTCAGATAACAATAAGATTGCAGAATTAAATAATAAAATTTGCGCACTTAAAGATGAGAGAAATATACAACGTGCTCAAGATAATTCGAATTTAAAGCCTACCAAAATCTCCGATTCCGTAGATGCCAGACCCCGTCGAACTAGATCTGATCTAGATAAGTTCTCTGCATTACAGCAAAGTGCAGAGAAGCGACAGTTAGCTAACGAAAGTTGGAAAACACACATTCAGAAAATTTTGTTGATAGATAGAGATTGTTTCCCCGGTTCTTTTTATCGAATATCTTATGTGATAAGCCAACTGTCCGGTGTCACGGTTTCAGTACAAAATGCATGAGCAATCTTGTAAGTACAGTATGTTAATTATAATTCTCTAGAGAGATAATTCCTGTAGCTAGAATACATATACATATACTTTGAGATACTCCTCTTCTGTAAGGCTCTCCCTATGTCTAGAATAACATGGACTCCTCGAAAATACCCTATAAGATTCTTGATACACCTGATGTCCTCATGAACCTTCCGTGT